TTAAATCTGCGGACTCTGTCCAGTCATTTTGCCATGACTTGAAAACCTATCTCTTCAACCAATAACTCTGTTTATTTTATTCTTATTTTTTAACCTTGTGAAGCGCTACTGAGCAGCCACCGGTTGGAAATTAGGTGCTATACAAGTGCATTATTATTATTATTAATTATATTCAGGGCTTGATTTACCTACAAAGAAACCAACATATTCTATCCTAGACCTTTCATGTTGTAAAAACACTAATCACTAACAAAAACACATGACAGTTTGGCTGTAGGAGTTTATTATATGATATCAGGGTTCTAATGATGGAAAAGTCACATCTAAGTTTGAGTTTTGTTATCCCCCGCCGCGCATTTAGTGCGAAGCGGGGGATAGAGTATTAAGCTCCGTCTGTCCGTCCGTCCGTATGTATTTACGTATGAATTGGAATATCTTAAGAACCATTGACTGGATTCTTTTCATATGTTGTACCTAGGTTCATCACAGTATAAGAAAGGTCCCAGTCAGGTTTGGTGACCTTGACCTTCATTTCAAGGTCATCAGGGGGACTTTAACATTTTACCCTTGTCAGCAAGATATCCCAAGAACCGTTCACTGGATTTTCTTCATATTTGACACTAAGCTTCATATAGGGAAGGCGCAGGGCCCAGTCCATTTTGGTGACCTTCCAATAATTTTCAAGGTCACGACAACACTTTGAAGATTTCAGCATGTCAGCCTGCATGTTTCCGTGGACTGGTTGTTGCTTTTGTTATTGTTTTTCTCACATGAGTACCCAGATGATATCCCAGAATTCCTGACTGGTTTGTTACCTCTGCTGCGCCACCCTCATGCGTAATTGATAGTATAAGTATAGACTTATAACAAAGATGAAATCTTTTTCACTGGATAATCTTGATTTTGTTGTAAAATTATGTAGACTGTGATGAATAATTTGGTTTCTTAAAAACAAAATATTCACTTTGATAAAAATGCTGATTTTGATGTAAAATTTTGATTTCATAGTAATGTTGACTTTATAAATATGTTAACGTAAATGGATGTAGAATTTGATTTAAGAAGTAGTTTGACCTTGAATTTGGTGAGAAGCCTGATATAATAGCATTGTTTGAAAGTAAGGCTAACTAAGTACATGGAGAGTCTTGGGGAGAGTAGTGAGCTTGGGTTCACTACTAGTCAATCTGAATGTTGTATTAAATTGCATCGTTGTGATAACAAATGAAAACATTTTAAGTTTAACCATCTGCCAGTGGTAAAAAATGTTAGGACTGAAATAACGAAGTCAATGTACGTCTTTATATTTTGTCTTATAATCCAAATTAGTTTATAATCATATTTGTATGTATTTTGAAATTTAATAAATTGCACACGATCTGCTTATACTTAGTGAATTTATAACATGACTGTAATATCTAGACATCTTATAGATTTCCAACGTGAATCATATTTCACACACACGCCCTTAGTGCGACCTAGTGTATGTTGTCTTATTTAGTGTCACATTACACTTCACGTAAAAAAAAATGATTCTGTTGAATGCCATAACAAATAAATTAAAACAAAATGCAAATATTAAAATTAAAACACACTAAAGTTATAGCAACAATATCAGGCTATTACCTTATTCGGGGAATGTATCCATCAATATTCACATAAAGGAATGAGATGCCATTAGTCTGCAGCTGACAAAGAATCCTGTTCCAAGTCATGTCTCTTGTAACAGTCTAATATGCGAAAAAGTGAGCTATCGTTTCAGGTTTTTCACATTGGTGTATCCCATTGGTCACCCAAGATAGCACACCTGGCAACTAATTGCATGATGTCCGCCATTCATTAAATAAATAATTTTGTTAGCCAATAATGAGCAATCAATCAATGTATTGGCTGTTAATCCTTTGAAGGAAGGATGCTGTTTTTACAAAGAGACAGGGAGTATTCAGTCTAGATTAGTAAATCTACATACATAAACACTACCTTTTGACAAATCCGCTGTGCAGGATAAAAGCAATTAATCAATCAGCGTGTTATCTGTTAATCCTTTGATCAATGTTTGTTTTGAAACTCAGCTGATAATTCCTCTTGCTGCACTTCCTTGCGCATATTACATAAGATGTAATACATTTGCCACATCAGACCTCAATTTATAATGGTGAGTATTTACTCCAGACACAAGGAATGCCAAATGGGAACCTTTGTCGGGTAATCTGAGTGGTTTTATCACTAATTATACCTGTTATAAATTCATTAACTGACCATCAAGTGAATGATGACAAATAACGTGTAGGTTTACCACCAAACAAGGGTTACAGCAAGAGAGTAGTAATCGCTGTATTGCATGCAAGTTTGAATGTCTGAAAAAAAACACAACTTATGGGCCGACACTGTTTTGAGGATACGAACTGGGTCGAACTTCATTGTTACATAAGAAATATATATACATGTATAGGCATTTACTGTGTACTTAGTTAAAAACTGTATATACCTAAGTACCTCAGTAAAATTTCAGATGTTTTTTAGCAATGGCAAAGTGGGGTTGTTTAGTTTATGGATTCAAATATATCAAATGTGTGTTTTTGATATCATAGCATACGTAATAGACACCATAGTGTTACATGATTAAATATCGAGGTAAAAAACACAGAAATAGGATCAAATTGGATCAGTCGCTATACCATCCAAACACTTGAAAATCTGAAAAAGCCTACACTGCTGGGATACTTTATTACAATCAGACAAGAACTGTAGGGGATATTTTCAAATAACGGCATCTGATGGTCATCCACCCTTCCTAATGTCCCACTGATTAGGTTGAAGAAATTCTGCCAAGGTGGGCAGTAGCCCAGTCCCCGTGTCCTTCATGGTCGAGAGAACAGGGACTGACCAGTTTGCAGCTAGGTTTCGTAATTAGACTGTTGGCTGGAAACATTAATCGCTGTGGATCAGTGGCCCTTTAAAAACACTTGCCCAGTTTCTTGTCATCGCCAGTAGCGTCAGCCACCACGTTGCTTAACAGCAGCTGTGTCCTTGTGGCCACTGCCAAACAGTTTCCAATTGAAGTTGCATAAATGTGACATGTAAGTAATCAGAAACATTCTCACAACCTGTGTCTTGTTATTTTGTTTTTGATTTCAATATAACCAAGGTCCATAGCCAGAAATGATCAAAAATACCCTTTACTTGTGCATGAGTTTGCCTTAGCCATAGCATCATGCTTGACAGAAACTGTAATGAATTGAATGTATGGAATCATTGAAATACAGTCAACTCTCGTTAATCCGACACTTGTGGTTTGAAGAGAAATATGTCGGATTAACGAGAATGTCGGTTTAATGTATTTGTGTGAAAATATCAATGTTTACTAAATGTCATGATCGTCATACTGTTGCATGCATATCAGAAATGGTAGATCTAGTGATCCATTGTTATTTCTTGATTAAATCGTCTCAATTAATTATCTTGTGTTTCTAATTAGAAAGTGTGATGTTCACCGACGTGGGTGTCAAGCAGCCAGTAAGGCACATGCTAATTACCGATCATGTGATTGTTTGTTTCAGCTGTGTTGATTGTCGGATTAACGAATATTTTTACAATGTATTTACAATAATCAGTTGCTAGATTGGTATGTCGGAGTCCGAATTCAAGAATGTTGGATTAACGAGAGTAATTTTCACTGTTTTAACTGGTTCCCTAAATTTTTTGTCGGATTAACATGATTGTCGGATTAATGAGTGTCGAATTAACGAGAGCTGACAGTACATCTATTTTTATTTCCCTTATGATTATTGCTTTGATGATCTTGTCATGTACATTCTAAAACTAATGAACAAGTGTATGCAACAAGTAGCTGAAGAGACCTCTCAAAGTTAGATATGAACTTTGCTTACATTTCAAGCAAGTGCTGTTTTCCCAACTCAGTATTCCTTTTCATTTCTGATCTGTTCCACTTGATGTCACCTTTACATTCACTTTTGCTGACAAAGACTGTTGTCATTTTATTGTAAAATGTATGAGGAATTGAGTGATTCATGTAAGAAGGCTGAGTTTGAATTATACAAAATGTAATATGCATAACATAACATGTTACATGTTTTTGTAAACACCATGCAATATGGCTGGAAGTGTAATTCAGTGATCGTGTTTGTGAATTTTCCAAAAAATTCATAGTGATTCCGGGGCCGTTGACAACATTTCAGAATGATCATTGCTGATTTGATAAAAAAATATTAAGTAAACAAATAAATGATAATAAATGAAAAGAAAACCTGTTATCACTAATATCCTTTTTTGAAAGTCAGTTCTTCTTATAAATATTTCATATTTAGATTTTACAACATACAATTTGGTCCTCCCTACAGTGTGTGGATATATTACAGAACAGGGATGACCTGGATATTTTTGCGCCATCAAAGTGAGGATTTAAGAGGAACATGTATTTTTCAATTCATCTGGAAAAGTAGCATACACCTAGTGCATGTACGTTTCGGATTTGCAGAAAGAAGATTTACTGGATAGGCATTCAACTCAATTTGAATGTTAGACAATTTGGTTTCACTGTATGCATAAAAAAGAACATTGTAACAATGTATTACTTATTGAAACCGCAACATCAACAAAACCACCAATGATGTCATATTGCAAGGACATAAGTCATGGTGTGTTTATTATGGAAATAGAACTCTTGGTAAATGTGCAAAATATGAAACGATACAATGCAAAAATAAATTAGTTACTTGTGTTAGCTCTACTGTTTGGGCTATGAAACTACCATATAAATGGTTCTTATGTTGAAAAAGGCAAGACAAACTGGTTTATTTTGTGAAAACTTGCCCTTTAAACCAAGTGTCACCATACCCCATAAATCTGGAATATTGCTGGGTGCGGCGTTAAACAGCAAACCAACCAAGCAATCACCTCCCCTTTTTGGACTTGGCAAGTAGGACATTAATGTGGAATTAGCAAAGCACAATTGACACTCCTTTTGCTTATTGTTATTGCAGGCTCCCAAGATTTGTTGACGGAAGATTTAGAACAAAGTGATGTTGAGAAAGATGATATGACCCTTCTCAATGAAATCCTCAATGCTCCATCAACAGGAGAAGATGAATTTGCCCAAGAGTGGCAAGCAGTATTTGGTTCAAATCCTCTCCATGCCTCGCCAGCCATGGTTCCAGCTGAGCCAGATCACTCCAAGGCTCCGGCAGAGTTCATGCCCTCAAGTCTATTGGATATTTCTTCCCATATGTCAAGCCTTGCACTAACATCAGGTAAGGAGGCAGTTACCATGCTTTTCCTCACAGTCAATGGAAAGAATATGCTTAGCATGTAATTTGTGACTGAACTTTCTGTTAGATGATGTTTTTGACCTAGTGTTATTGAGACAACATTAACGGTCACCTGTTACTACTTTCCAGAATATGGTCTGGATAACCGGGTCTTGACTCGTATATCATGTGTGTTTTATCTCACAAATGGCTTCAACTGTTAAGCATTATCAAGTACAATTAAGTTGACGAAATGTCAATGTCAATTTATCACTCGCTTATTGTATGAGCTTCATGTTTCATTTCAAGATATTCTAATATGGTTTTTAAGATGGTTTTGTTATACCCCTGACTTCAAAAGGTTGGGGTATATCGTAACACAATGTACCAAGGAATTCCGTCCAGACTGCCAGTCCGAAGACATTTTTGTTGAACCAATAACTTGATTGTTTGGATTGTTTTCAAATTTGGGGATCATCTTCTTCATCTCATCTCAAGCTTTATCTCATGGTGCTTTAATCTTTTTTAAAGAAATTTTGAAACTTATCCTATCTCACGGTATGCACTTCTCTTTCTTGATTCGACACTGAGTGGAATGATGTAAACTTTTTTCCTTAGGCCTCTCTTGTCCATCTGCCCATGCACTCCATGCTACCCTCATTATAAGACAGCTTCTTAGCTCTCATGCAAAGCATGCGGCATGCACCACTAGCTGCCCACGTGACTATCTCCGAATCATCATTCTCTTTCTTGTCGCACACGAGTGTGGACGTATGTTACTTTGCTCAACGTTTCAACTTAGTCTACAACATGGGGAAAGTTGACCAGCCATAGAAGAGGGAAAATGCTCCCGGTGTAATAAGCGTTCTCCGCGTGTGATCCACATGGATATTGTATTGACTGTATGGGACACTGTAAATGGGACTCTCGTAGCGATAATTGCAAGGTTCTTACTTGGTGACTACACTCGAGTTTGCGCCGTGTTGCGTCGTGTTGCTGACAGGGCTCCTTATGCCGCTTCACTTGACGGACCCAGTCCCTCCAAGAAGGAAAGCTTTAGCGTCCTACTTTGTCTGCTCGGCGGTCACAGTCCCCTCACTGAATGAAGAGGATTTCATGAGAGCGTCGTCAGATTCTTACCTATTGGAAGACATTCGGCTGAGCTCTCAACGTTCCAGCCCGAGTCACTTCATCTTCGACCACGTCTCAGGTAGACCGCCACCACCCCTCAGGAGACCTCTACACAGCGGGCCCTTCGAACCACGTTCTCTGTCTCTCGTTCACCAGACCAGTTATCTTGGCGACCTGGCTTATCAACCTGGACAAGAATCAGCTGATCGCTACGCCTGACTGCGCAGAAGCCGCGCTCTCGCTCTTGTCGTTCATCCATTAATGAGAGGAACCAGTCTACCTCGCCTCAACGCTCGTCAGTGGTTATTTCGCCGTCTTCTTCCCATTCGGCGGAAAGAAGTGTGTCTTGCATCCAGCTACCTCGATCTTCTGCTTCGCCGAAGACTGCCAGATCGAATCACAGTTCGCCGGATCACGCTTCACCTGTCCGCTCCCCTCCACATCGACTTTTGCCGGACTGTCCACCTTCCCCAGAATTAGACCGGCTCTCTACGAAACCACTGAACCGATCCTCATCGAAAGGCCAGTCCACGCTTCAGCGTTTTCCGGATCGATCGTCTTCTCAACAGACTTCACTGGAGCGACATGTGATGAACCGACTTTCGCCGATACGGCTTTCTTCCAAGCGGTATTCAACGGAACGCCCTTCTCCGGATCATCTGTGTACTTCCCCGAACTCTGCTTGATCCTACAGTCATGTCTCCTCAGCACTGACACGGTTTTCACCGAGTCGTTTGGACCAGGCTCCTATTATCCTTGGGATTTGTTCACCTGATAGACCTGGTAGATCTACTTCACCGCCGGGGCGCCACTCTTCAACCCATTTGCATTCAACTAAGCAACGCCTCCATCTACTTCGTTGAGATCCGTTCTTCGATCGAAGTCACCTCCTCGGACTTCGTCTTCTCGTCAGCATGGGACTTCCTCTTCTATGCACTCGACCCATCAACCTTGATCTCCTGTACACGATCGACTGCTGCCTATGGTTCAAGATCTAGGGATCATCATTCTCGTTGTGGTACTTCCCCTCCTTGTCCCCGAATTTCTAGTCGGGTCTCCATATGTGCGTCTTCTTCCGGCTCGTTCCCCTCCAGATATCAATATGGATCTACTCAACGGGGCTCCGATTATAGATATCAGCGTGCTACGACTTCTGACAGGGCTCCTGCCTCCTCGCGCGTCTCTAGTCTACTTGGTTTGTACCAGATTCCTGGACTCCTGCGTAGGAAACTACTCCTCCCCCAGATCTGGCTGCGATGTTGAGTGCTATTTACTACTGCTTGGAATCAGCAACAGTCTGCTCCCTCTACAGGGACCGAATGCGCATTCAACGAACCATGGCTGCGTCTAATTAATTGGCATTCAGCTGAACTGAAAATTCGCCAAACCGGATTCCTCGAACCGGAGATTGTTGAACCAGCATTTATCGAATCAGCAGTCACCGAATCGACGTTTTTCGACTTAACCAGCCGTCCCATGTTTCACCGAACTCTTCCAAGTATCATCGTCGAACTGATTCGGCAGGCCGGTTCGCTGCGACATTGTCAAACTATTTCTTCTGCACAGAATGGCTCATCTCGTCCGAACCACATCGCCGAACTGATTCACTACAACATCCCCGTACTAGTTAACCAGATCGATCTGCTAATCGCCGAATTAGTTCGTCGGGCCAAACTGAGTCGCCGCACTAGAACCGGATCATAGTACCGTTTCAGATCTTACCTCGCCAAGCCAGATCACTTAACCGATCCTGGTCATCGAACCGTGCCAGATCGCAGATCCAACAGCGTTTGCCGCCCCGACAGCGTTCGCCGAACCATCAGTATTCACCGAATTGCCAGCATTGCCGAACCATTCCGCCTTTAAGTTACAGCAATAATGTTGGTTCAGTCGACTCACATGGTCACTTGATCAGCTTCAGCTATCCGGCGTAAGATTATACTCACTCACTCACTCATCTACAACTATCTTGAGCAAGATACCAGATGAACTACTTACTACATTCAACTTGACGGATCGGAACTTGTCAACACTGTTTTTTTACATGCTCATCGAGGATCATGACCTTGCGTCTAGATACGGTCAATTATACCAGCTGTTAATTATATTCTACCAGCTTTCAACACGATGTTAACATTCATGGCATTTGTGATACGCTGATTTCCTCACCACGGAGTGGCATGCTCTCAGCATGACCATTCGACTTGGCTCTCCGGATCACCCTATGGCATGTGAGGCGCTAGAAGATTTTAGTCACATGACTATCCCACCTGGTACCCCCTTTATGCTGATTAAACAGATGAAGTAGCTATGTCACTAGCGCAGACATTTAGATTACGCCGGCACTTGACGCTCTGACGATCCCCGATCCCCCAGACTTAGACAACGTGACCTCTGCGTTACTAGACAGGCTTGCTATCCAGGAATTTTTCCGACGCTTAACTGAGTCCTGTTACTACAAACTACTCGTAACAGCGTTATGGTGAAATCATGGCCTACTTTGTCATCTTCATCACCCTTCCCTCTACATCAGCAAGCCTCTGGACAGATGGGTCAAGTTTCTGCTCATGGTACCAGTACTGATGTCTTGTCAAGTAGCTATCGTCCCTTTGCCGGGATGTTACGGAGTTGTGCCTCGCACGGTTCACCGAACTGTGTTTTCCGGATGTTTGTCACTGTTGCATTGTGGGTACCATTTGCAAATGGCGGACTACCCCTTGTTTACCGGAGAATTATGATATTTAGAGTCACTATGAAGTACACTGACAGCTCTGTCTAGGTCCTGCAAGCGGATAACAATCACAGCCTTTTATTGCCAGTGACGATGAACAGTGCCATTCCCGGTAAGAGTGATTATGTCGGGATTCGTCAGCCAGCCGAGAGAGACAGTTCACCGAGAGTTACTCGGCTTTCAACTTTAGCCCAAGCCCTCAGTTCAGAGGGCATTGCAGTTCTGCTCGCATGGTTCCCAGGCACATATTTTACTGCCTTCGTCTCCCAGACGAACCTTCCCTGACGTCGCCAGGCTTTTTTACCTTCGTCATTACAGCGATTTTACGACTGTTTCGGTAGATCGATGATCTCCATGCATCAAATCTACTAACTTTATCACTCCATCTGACGGAACAATACTTCATTTAGCGAACCAACGTTCCTGAGATCACCGATTTTACGACTTTCATCACTCCGTGCACAGTGTGAACGTTCCTGTAGATTGATTGACAATTTCTATGCGCCGACTCTACTACATTCAGCACTCGGTCAGTGTTGCCGTGGTAGCTTCACTATTTAACGTTCCTAGGAGAGATATCCCTACATCAGTGACAAGAGTTGCTAGGTCTCCTTACCTCAGCACTAGCCTTCAGTTCACCACCATGCTGCTCCGACAGTTAGGGTGGCTATTGGACATTGTGGAATCGAAACTAACATCGATCCAGAGACCCCACTTCATCGATCCATTGTTTGACACCAGTCAAGGGATGATGTTTGCCCTTCAAGCCAGGTGGATGAAGATCTAGTGATGTGTTGCTCCAGTGCTATCTCAGTGGCAGGAGCTACTAGGCTTTCTGACATCAGATCAAGCCCTAACATACAGAATTCAGCTTCAGCCGTTACAGCTTTTTTTTGTGCCCGTATCTTTAGGCAGACAATCCCAAGGAACTGATTCATCTTCCCGAACCCGTCCCGTCGAAGACCCAGGTTCGAATCCCCACATGGGTATAATGTGTGAAGCCCATATCTGGTGTTCATCTGTGATACAGAAGTTGTTGACCACCAGCAAGATTCTACTGCTTTTGGTCATGCAATAAGTCCTGACCAGCGAGAAGTTAGTTTGTTGACCTAAGAAACCTAGCAGAGCCAAACCCAGTACC